CTAAGGAGGAGGCGGGACGCGTGAGGCAGCGAAGCGCTGCCTTCTCGCAACCCAGCCATCGCGAAGGACACACCGGGCGTCGGGGATCGCGAGACGATCTCCGGTCACCGTAAGCGCGGGCCTGCGGACGGCGAGCATGGGTGGCTCCCCGTCCGACCAGAAACAAACCCGAGCGTACGGCGCGCCCTCAAACAGCCATCAGACATCCCACAGATGGGGCCCAACAGGGCCGATGCCGATTCGGAGTCGCGGAGAACCTAACGGGTAACCGGGGCTCCGGCTCGACGTGCAGAAGAAGGAACGGGGTGGTTTTTAGTCAGTAAGAGTCTGACACTCCCTCCCGCCTCATCCAGACGGGAGCAGTCATTCGATGATTTTACCCCCTTAAAAAAAAACTGGCAATAAATTCACGTAATTCTATTAAAAAAATATATAAATTTTCACACCACAAATATTAAGGGGGACAATTACCAGGTTTGGACTCCGTAGCACTTAGAAGTCTCTTAGGGCTTCGGAATCTAGATAACTATCTAAGACGATTAATTGGTATTTGCAATATTTTTTTTACACAGACAACCTGTCTTTAGCCAAGCGTAAAAATCTGAAGGACTTAATAAAAAAAAATTAACTATCTGGAATATTTGATACAGATAATATCTTACTTTAACAAAGTCATCTACGTTCATTAATCCTTCCTGAGTGGAAATTCCAGCAACAATGATAGGTCTCCTAATTTTCGTTCCAAGATATTTTTTTATTTTTTTTATTGTAGCAACGTTCCTTGGATAATTTATAATTATCATATCCGTCTGTAATTAATCATGTTTGTAAAATAAAAAAATTGGACACGTATTTTTTATTTTCTCAAGGAAACGAATAGTTTTGACGATATATTGATTTGAAATATCGCATGACGTCCCGTTTGAATACGATATATACTGAGTAATTTATATTGAAATATACAGTTACTATGAGACTTACTTCATATTCTACAGCAAACCTAATTAGGTGTACATCTTTTTTCGAAAGATATGGTCGTGTTCGTACAGCGCCCCTCATGCATACATACGCCATGTTCCGAAGATATCCACCTTTAGTGACAGTACATTTTATTGAATGCTCGCTGCTCTTAGATGTGCAAACCATAATGATTTCTTCTTGGGAAATATTTATTTCCATTCCTACTTTAGCATCGGTTGTTAAAAACGGATTATCGACAAATATTTGTGATTCATTACATTTGTCATAGTGTGAAATTTTGTTAGTTAAAATAACTTCGGAGTTTTCTTTAATCCATAATTCAGCTAACTCCTGAAAATAAAAGGATAACCTTTAAGTTTGTGGTACTAGAAGTATATTTGTATAGTTAAACATAAGTGAGTAGGGGGTAAGTCCCGTAACGCCGGACGGCACCTAACGCCGGACGCCGGTTTTATCACGATAACTGATAACACGAGCGTTTCAATTTTTACTAAAAATCTTAGGTGTCTGCCACTGGGAGACTTTCCCCTAAAAATTGAATCGCTCGCGTTATTAGTTATAGAGATAATACAAGCGTACGGCGTTAGGTGCCGTCCGGCGTTAAGGGACTTCCCCCTACCTCCTCTAGGAGTCCAGTTTGTACCACGCATGTCTTAAGTTCAATGCATGTGGCGCAAGGAAATTCTAATAGTCCATGTTTATTTGCTAAAAATGATGAAGCTCTTTCAATATTGTCAAGCATTTTAGCTTTATCAAGTTTAGTAAAGTGGGATGTTTTCAATCGAGCTACGTTCGTTCCCATCTCAATTACTTTTTCAATATCAACCATTTGCATTTCTGGATCAGCTGCAACATATATACCAAAATATTATGTATACTTATACAATCAGTGTAGGTACTTGAGGTCTGGTCTAGCTACTTTGGTCCGTGGGGATACCACGGGGCCTGTTGAAATTGTAAACTAATACCCATTTTTAATAAACCAAATAATACGCACCAAATGTTACCATTATAAGGCTTCTTCTGCGCGAATATGACGGTCCTAAAACATGTTTAGGGTCTGTAATATCAACACGCTCAAACTCAAGTTTGTCCACTAGTTCGTCCATATTTGTCTAAAAGTTCTAATTTAACATAAATAATAATAATATTATAGCATTAAAGTGTTTTAAAACACAAAAAGTAAGTCTATCTAAAATATGTATCTTCAATTTCCGTACGACTATAAAATTGACACTTTTTTATGGCAAAAAATAAGAAATAACTTGAAAGAAAGAGTAATAATTAAAAAAAAATACATGCCAATATCTATAAAGTTTCATTTTAACGTTGTAAAATAAGGTTTTACACATAGAAAATAGAGAGTCAAAAAAAAAATAGCGAGTCGATTTGGTTTTTAGAGTACCTGTTTAACAAAATACTCTAAGATTTGGTTTCCTACTCTAAAATTTTTAATAACCAATAGAACAACCCAAGACCAATAACTCTGTTTACACATGATGATGATTCACATCATGATGACTTTTGTAAACAATTGTAGTAAGTATGTATATGAATCCCAGTTTGATAATAGGTACTTTGCTATTAACTCGCCTCAAGGTAAGCGATTCCGACGATGGAGTACGCCCTGTAAGTAAGCAATTCACTCGATACTTCTGTAAGTCTTTCCAAAAGGATACAACTCGAGTGTACAGAAACACAGGCTCTTGTATGGAATTCCATTCCTTAGCGGTTCGCACAACAAAAACTTCCAATACGACCTTCAAACTTTCAAGAAAAGAGCATATACCTTCTTAAGAGGCCGGCAATGTACCTCTCCTGTTGTGTTGTGTGTATAGGCGACCGCTTACCATCAGGTGATCCATCTGCAGCTGTAGCCAAATGCCATTTAGCACCTGTCTACATGTAGAATAGAAAACCGAATTATATGGGAGTCATCCCCATACCATGCCCCATACATTTAATTTTTTACTCTCTCTTTGGTTTGGCTAAAGACACTTTTGTCTCCTATTCCATAAAAAAGTTGACATTCTGAGAGGTATACATGTATAAAGTAAGACCAATCAGTAAAATAAGTAACTATAGTGAGCTATCATTATTATGTTTATGCATTTTGTACAATTTGTTTAGACTTTAGCTTCTATAGCACCAATTTGCTAAACCGAGGTTAAAATAAAACAAGTAGGTAATATTTTTTTATAAGTAATTTAATATGGTTATACAAATACACCCAATTATCACTATTATAATTCATGCATTCGTCGAAGAAGTCGAACAAACAGTTTTGAGTTTGAATCTAAGGTCGGACCAAATAGGATTTCAATTTTTTAATTTTTTTTATTTATATTATAATTCCACAGGGAATTCTATTGTATGGCCTTGGGACCCACCATTGTACAATCTTATACTAAATAGTTCTTTTTCATTTTGTTTAAAATACATATACAATTAATAAATTAACGTATAATTATTAAAACCAGACTTGTCTTTACTTGTATTTGTCCAGAAGCAAATACGTTTACTTTCTGTAAACGTATTTGCTTCTTTTGCAATTCATACAATTTTTTCCAGCTTAAGTTACAGTAAATAATAAAGTATTACGTCAAAGTCATATCATTGTCTAATATTGCACATTTTAAATTCCTTCTTTTTGTTCTTGCTATTGTATATCTTTCTTAATTCGCATCTGAAATAAAACACATTTTAGCCTGATAACTTTACATTATATTGAAAACCTTAATCGAAACAAAACATTGTTTGTCACTTTGGCATCACATGGGAGAGTCAAGCTTTGGCTCAAACAGGGCTCGGATTGATGCCACGGCTTCATTCACAAATCGGAGGCAACCAGTAGGTAGGTACTTATGTTGTGTTTTGTTATGTGAGTGTGGCAATTCTGGCTCCCATTTCTAATCCCCAAAAAGCCGGCAACACATCTGTAGTACCTCTGGTGTACGTACGCGTCCAAGGGCGCCCCCGTTGATTACTTACCATCAGGTGATACGATTGCTCGTTTGTCGGTGAAATATTTTATAGGAATTATAAAAAAATCTCACTGGATTTGGCTTTCCATTGACGCAGTGACTTTCCATACTCGTACTGCATCACAGAAAGAGCTTCGTTCACTTCCCTTTTCTAGCGTAATATAATAGTGGTTAAACAAAATCCAGCGCTTGACAACAGCATATTGAAGTGCAAAGTTGACCCTGTCTTGTACAATATCGAACCACGTCCTACGTGGTTCACCTGTTTTGTCACAAATAACAATTATTTCATTAGAAGGAGCCACTTTTACCAGTTATGGTATAAATGTTATGTTAAGTTAAGTTTTGGTATAAATCACGGAATATAGAATACAATGGAAGTAGCAAGTAGGCGTGGCACGCGTGCCACAACTAAGCAGTGTACAGCTTACACGAGGCAAATTCGAGTTCAGTCTCGTTCGAACATGGCGTCGAGTTGCTAGTATCGTGACAAATACATATTTCCTCAACTATGCCGTTTTGTTCCGTTTTGGCGTGTAAAAATGATAGCAGCCGAAAAATCGTAAAAACGGAGGTGTTTCGTATCATCGGTAAGTACAATTTTCATTGTTTTATTGTTAAAATCTTATTTTATTTCAATTTACAAAAACGGTTATTAAAATAATATTATTTACTAAAACGGTTAGTCAAAATTAACCTTACGCCTTCAAGATAAAGTTTATTTTGGATTTATTCCATTCAATAGAATATTCTCGCCAGTTCTACGCTACTCAAATAGTGATGTGGTCAAATCACATATCGATTGAATTTATCGATTGATATCGATGCAAGTGTAATGTAACATTTATTTAGATTATTTTTTTATTATTATTTTAGTGGTGACCCCGACGTGATTGGAAGCAACCTTTACTTCACGGAGCAGATCAGCACCGTCACCCTTATCACATTATCTATATAAAGTTTGTAAAAAATTATGTAATAGTTGTTACTTATATTGCCTATGTGAAATAAAAATTTTTTTTTGGAAAAACTAATAAAAAATACGAACAAAATGGTTTTTGATTTACATGCAAATAAATACTTACCCTTTTTTGTTGCGTTTAAAAAGTTATCAACGACATATTAATTTTATTATTTTAATACTGTCACACTATCGCAGTCAATATTTTTTTCACATTATATTTAAAACACATTTTCATATTATCGATATTATTTTTATCGAATTAGGCTACATCACTATCTGAGTAGAGACCCGCATTCGAGCCAGTGATAAGCCATTCAAATATCACCTTTATTCTTACGACGTTAAAGTTCAAACCAAGTACCACTTTTCGTCGCTAGATGGCATTGTTAAACGCCATCTAGCGACGAATAGCGGTACTTGGTAGTCCAAAATATAATTTTTAATTTTGATTTTTATTTCAGTGATTTTAAAGTTGCATATCGTATGACATTTTGTTTGCATTTCGTTTACGCACCATTTTTTTTCTAACCAATTGTAACTTCCGATTTATAGTATGAGTAAATTATAAATGTATTAGTTTGGCGACACCGGTTCTGGCAGAAATATTGTTTCAAGCTACTTCCATTGTATTCTATATTCCGTGGTATAAATATTATTATAGGGACAAAAACTGTCATAATTATAATTTGCACAATAAATTTATAGGTCGTAGTCGAAGACTTTAAAAGGAGGTAGAATGCAATTGAAATCAAGTTTGAATAACCAATAAAAGCAACATCTGTAATTCATAAAAGTAACTTCTGATTCTATATATCCTAACTATAACAAATGCTTAAGTCTAGGTAAAATGAATGCTTCAAACCTTTATATAAAAGTGGTATGACACCCCGAAGGGTTTTTAATCGCCTTACAGTCCTAGTTGTTGTACTAACTGCTAAAATAGTACTGTTTGGTCGAAACCAGTTTACGAGAGCAACTGTGCCCCCACTGACTGTAGGTACTATTATAAGACGAGCTTTGGTCTGATTTGCTATTTCAACGCAAGACAAGGCACAAGCTTCGGCTGCATTCAATGGCATTTTCGTCTGAAATACACAAAAAAATGTAAGAAAAATCTAGTTTTCTTTATCGCATCTTGCATAATGAAATAGATTTGATACATTGCATGCATCGCTAAATTAAGGTTATATAAAGTAATTTTAAAAATTAAAACTATATATCCCCCCAGTGTTCTTACCCGTGACAAGAGTTGATAAAACTCGGTTTTATCTGTACACAGAGGTTCAACACTAGGACACAATTCGTTGAAAATTTTTATTGTTTCAAACAAGTTGTTCATATTAGAAGTATCATAGAGTGAAAAACCAGTTGTTCCTCCTAGAATGGCGTTCGTCACTTCAGATATTTCTCGAGTGTTTGCAATGCCTGTTTTAAGGGTTTCTTCAAAAATTTCCCCAGATACGTAGAATGGTTTGCCCGCCTGAAACAAAGAAATACCCTAAAAGCTGGCAACGCACTTGTAACACCTTTGGCGTTGTGGATGTCCATAGGCGGTACCGATTGCTAAACCACCAGGTGATTTGTCTACTCGTTTGCTGCACATACAAATCTCAGTTCTAAATTGATGTGATTGAACAAAACCTCTAGGCTACCTTACGACATTTTCCCGCTATAATATTTTGCATCCAACCTATGCGATCGTACAACGCTGGCTCCACTTCATAAGTCAAATATTCTCTCGAAAGTAAAATACCATCAGCTTCCTGAAATATTTAAAAAGTTTAGTATTGTAGTATTACCAGAAGAAATAAATGAAAGCGCTTTTGATAACGATCGATAATAAATTACAGTGTTTAAGTTTTTCTTTTCGAACCACGATAATTATATTTAATTGGTTTATATCATCTTACTCTAATAAAGTCATCTATGTTGCCGAATCCTTCTTGAGTAGATATTCCAGTTATAATTAAAGGCCTTTTTTGTTTAGATCCTAGAAGTGTCTTTATTTTATTTACTGTTTCAATGTTTCGTGGGTAATTTATAATGATCATGTCCATCTACAATAAATATTCAAGTTTATTCATGGGTTTCTTTTTATTTATTAATGTTATAAGTATCAAAAGGTTTTAAGAATAATTTAGGAAAATTAAATGTAGTACAAATCAATGATACAATGTTATTATGCAATAAAAAAGATATACCTGGTATTCCAAAGCAAATTTGATTATATGCAAATCCATTTTGGAAACAAATGGTCGTGTTCGTATAGCTCCCCTCATGCACACATGTGCCATATTTTGCAAATACCCCCCCTTGGTGACAGTACATTTTATTGAATGCTCGCCTTTAGCTGTGCACACCATAATTATTTCTGCATCGGAAATGTTTATTTCCATTCCTATTGTCACGTCAGATGTTAAATAAGGATTATCAACAAATATTTGTGATCTATTGCATTTATCAAATATAGCCATTCTATTAGTTAGAATAACTTCTGAATTTTCTTCTATCCATATTTGAGGTACTTGATCCTGTTGTAATTATTAACGGTATCATTAACAAAATGGAAAAGAACAATGGTCTGGAGAAAATATCTATAAGCTGTAATTCTCATATAATGGTTTAAGCAAATCGGATGGCTCAGGATTACGGTGAACCCCCTTTAATGGAGGGAGGCGTTCGTGTAATAGTGGACATATTCTTGTACCTACATGATGATAAATAAAAATTTGGACAAACATACATTGACTCTAAAAATCTTCCCTTGATTACCCTCAAGGAGTCCGGTCTGTACCATACTTGTAGTCAGGTCAACAGACGTGGCATACGGCCACGCATGAAGACCGTACTTTTGAGCCAAAAATGACGCTGCCTTTTCAAAATTCTCGATTAATTTAACTTTATCTTGTTTCGGACTATAGATTGTATTGAACCGTATCACATTGGTACCCATTTCCAATATTCTTTCAATATCAACACCTTGCATTTCGGTATCAGCTGCAAAATGAAAGGTTTACTATGATTATGATTTTTTTTGAGATTATAAATTCTTATAACAGTCTGCAATTGTGCTTAGTACTCCTAATAAATAGAACTGGAGAAAAAAAGACATTTGTACAAGTGCACCTCTGCTTTAGTGAATTAAAGTCCTGATATATATTATTATGTTGTGTTAAATACCTATTGTGACCATTAATAAAGTTCTCCTGTGTTCATAAGGGGGCGACAGAACATATTTCTCATCAGTAATATCAATATTCTCAAATTCAATGTTATCTGCTAGACTGTCCATATTCGATGTAAAAAATACTGAGTATTTGAACACTAAAAATAACTTATAAATAATGTTAATCAAAATACAAAGTAATATAAAATACAAAGTAAGACTTTCAAAAAGCTCGTCCTTTCAAAAATGACATAATTTATGTCTATCACAATAAATTAAAAAAGAAAGAATTAAGAAGGTTGGACAATAGAAAAGTTTAAAAGCTTCTATTTCTATATTTATGACTCAATCTGCACGGACTGCATGATTGGCACGGTGGCTGGGCAACTGGCTACCGTGCAACTTGTAGCGGGTTTGATTCCTCCACAGAGCAACTCTTTGTATGATCCCCAAATTGTTGTTTCGGGTCTGGGTGTTATGCGCGTTAAACTCACACAAGACACAGGAGAAAGCCTAGGGTGGGGCAACGTATTGAAAAAAATCGACTCAATCAAGGACGTCTTGAATCATAGAAATTGTGTGTATTTTAATCTTCATTCCAAAAATGTTTATTAGGATCTCAAAACTGTAAAAGGTAACATACCAATTTTATAGATTCCGATAATATTATATTACCACGATTGAACTACCTAATGTCACTATCACAATAATGAACGTGGCCTTGTTCTAGTTCTCTTTCTGTTGTATCTGAAACAGGAGATTGAAATAAAATAATGATATCTTTCATCTGAATGATTTGAATATTGCCTACTCCCAAAAATCAGTAGGCACAGAAGTTAATATTTCTTTGACTTAACTGGACAGACAGTCAGTTAGACAGACATACATACATACAGATTTGGAATATGCTGGTCTGCGAGGATCTATGCATATGTTAAGTATGGGCACATACAGCACATGAGAAGCTATTTTAATTTAAATTGTGAAGGTGTTTAATTTATTTTCTCATTCTAGAAATGTTATCAACATTACCAGCCTATAAGTACGCATTGTTGAGCATAGGCCTCTTCTCACACGTAGAAGGTTTGAGCATTCATCAACAATTTAAAAAAATGATAACCCATGATTTCCTCACGACGTTTTCCCCTCACCGTTTGTTACTGGCGCCTAATAATTTTAGAACGTACGTATTACTCGGAAAAAGTTACGTTGGTACCGACACTTAAACATAATTATATAATTTAAACTTACTCTACTCGATTTAGGTCATCATCTGACAAAGCAATCATTAATTAGTTGGAAACGATTTCCTGAGTACTATATAGGGAGCTCTACGTTTCAAAACTCGAAATTTTAATCAGGGACTGAAAGCGGTTAAGGTATAACGGTACGGTACCGGTATAAAATAAGTGTACCGAAATTAAAGCTATACCGGTATTTAACCTTTATGCGATAACGGTACCGAAAAACTTAGATTTGACCGTTGCGACTTTGCGAGACGTAAAGCTAGGAGTGTGCGGGGTGTGGTGCGAGGGGCCCCACTCCGAGGCGTGGAGCAGCGGCAAGCGAAAAACGCGCGCCTGTGTACCTGTTTATTCGTGTCACTGCTGCAACTAAACTACGCTACCGTTGTATGATTTGTGTGTACCGTACCTATCTAATAACTATATAATAGTCGTGTAACTATTAACTATGAGGCGGAAACGTAAAAATGCAGTATATGGATTGAGATATAAGTACTAATGAGTACATGCGTTTTTTTCATTTTCCAAGGAAAGTAATGTTTCTACATATTTAGTAACTGGATGCTTAGCTATAATAAAATAAGTATTGTACCCATTCATTGTAAACTTTGACCGGTCAGTGAGTATAGATGCAATATAGGTACTACTTATACAACCTATACCCTAAATGTAATTGGTAGGTATGTACATAATTATCTATCTTGTAGCTATAAGATACCTAACTATAACATTTATCTTATTATTCGGTACGTACCTATCTAAACTTTCGGATATCCTAGGTAGGTGTGTACCTAAGAACATCGTAATGTTTGTTTACTTATATTACATACCTACATAAAACCAGTCATTGGGTATCGTTCGTTAGGGTAGGTACTTACCTAAACTTTGATTATTTACTAGGTATATATAATATTATGTTCATAAGATGAATAGGATTAGGTACCTACCTTGGAATTTTAACTACAATTATTATATAATACAAATTATACAAGCCCAAACACAAGGTAGTTACTATAAACCGTTGATGAGTTCCCTTAACAATTACAGTTCTTCATCATCAGACC